CAAAAAGAAATTCAAATAAGCAACTTTTACTTCAAATTTCAGTGTTCAACTTCCGTGAATTTTCAAGCTTCATACTGGTAGGTGCCTATTTAAAGCCGCAGGCCTACGCTAGCACACTATAGCTCCTGGCACAACAGACAACTAGCCTGGAGCTAGAACATCCTGACTTGCCACTCATTGTTCAGGGGACTTGAACAGAGCAAATCTCACCCACGAACTGCCCAAATACAGACAGCACATCATCTGTCCCACAAGGGCCAAAATCACACTGGACCACTGCTACACAATAAAAGACACCTATCACTCTGTCCCCTGTGCAGGCCTCAGACTCTGATCACTGTATGGTCCATTTTATTCCAACCTACAGGCAGAAACTTAAAGCTGCGAAGCCTGTGGACAAAACAGTGAAGCACTGTACTGAGGAGGCTAAGTCCTGGATGAACTCACTGACAATGTTACGTCTTATATCAGCTTTTGTGAGGATGTGTGTGTGCCCAAAAAGGCCTTCTGCACATACAACAACAACAAGCCATGGTTCACAACAACACTCAAGCAGCTTCGTCATGCCAAAAAGGAGGCTTACAGAAGTGAGGACAGGACTCTGTACAGGCAGGCAAGGAACATACTGACAAGGGAAATCAGAGCAGCAAAGAGGAGCTACTCTGAAAAGCTCAAACCTCAGGCAAAAAACAAAGGATCAGAAAGGCACCAGGCCCAGATGGTGTGATCCCCCCTCCCTCCTGCCTGAAAGTGTATGCTAATCAGCTGGCCCCCCATTTTCAACAGGTCACTAGAGCTGTGTGAAGTACCCTCCTGCTTCAAATGCTCCACCATCATCCCAGTCCCCAAGAAAACCCCCATCAGTGGACTGAACGACCACAGACCTGTCGCCCTGACATCTGTAGTTATGAAGTCCTTTGAAAGACTGGTGTTGGCCCACCTGAAGGACACAGTAGACCCCCTACTTGGCATGGCATCACAGACAGTCATGATATGCAACTAAGATATGAAGAAAGAAAATGGAGAGTTTAGCTTTTCACTTTTCATTAATGAACAGATTAATAATCAATATACACTGATCATGTATAACATTATGACCACCTGTGTTATGGTGAGCACTCGCGGAGACGAGTGAGCGAACAGGCTGGACCCAGATGGCAGGTGCGATACTGATAACAAACTTTACTGCACTGAGAAAACAAGTTATGGAGATAACAGTCAATATGCTGGTAACATCTGCCTGAGGAGGCAGAGCTCAAGGGGTCCACAAATGGGGAGCTGGAGGTGGCAATGCAGGGCAGATGGAGGAACTGAAGATAAGCTGAGACAGCTGATTATGGCCAGTGAAGTCAGGTGGGGTAGAGCGGAGACGGCTGGGCTCGAGGAAGATGAAAGATGACTGGCAGCAGGTCATGCAGGCAGAGACTGAATGGAGAGAGTCAGAGGTGCAGATCGCTGGAGTAATGACGGGAAACCAGTACAGGCAGAAGCCAGGACCTGTAACAGAGAATCAGAAGAAAAAGAGAGAAGGATGAGAGGCAGGTGGCATAGAGCAAACCTGACAACCTGTACATCTGTATTCACTTCAATGCCACACTTCTGCCTTAACATTTGTGTTTATGAAACTCAAAATGTTTCAGTTTTTGGTGACAATCTCCTAAATGTATACATTCTATTATATGTTCATTACTAAGGTCATAGTTAAAGGTGGTGTTGTACTGGACTACATTGTATTCAGAGGTGTCTGTATATTTTAGTCCTGCCCATTCACATACAAGAGAAGATCAGAATATTACGATCACCTCTGAATATAATTAAGTTCAGTACAACAACACCTTTAACATTTTGAGCTTCATAAACACAGATGTTAAGGCAGAAGTGTTGCACTGAAGGGCATACAATTGTACAGCTGTACCTAATAAAGTGGCCAGTGAGTGTACATATTCATGTTATGCAATCTTATTTTATATTCAGCCGGAGTACTTCTCTACTTACAAAGTAAAGCACAGGGCAGGATCAACATTCCGTGTCTCAGACAAAACAATATTTTAATATCTGCTGTACAGGTGTAAAAATGCAATGAGTCACTGCAGTGACCGTACAACTAGCCAGTATTCCAAAACAAAATAAGCTAAATATATAGTTGGCAAAACTCTGCTCCCACTCAGCACCAGTTTGGCTGTAAATATTTTTTTCCTGTAACTGTCAATTAGCAAGAGCTATCATAAGAACACAAGAGTAGTTATGACACTGTAAGAGTCAGACATTTGCAAGTAACAGCTGTTAATCATGGCCTGCCTGACATTACCTCCTTGCCTTATGCAGGAGTGTGGCTTGTGCTGTAGTTAGCAGCAATGACATTGTGGGAAAAAGCAATAAGTTAGCTGTCTCATCTCCCAAACAGTTTCAACTCTCATTTACCACGTATGCTGCCATGTGAATTACTCTGTAAAGTCACATTTAGTGCTACATTATGTTTATCCATTAAACCTTCAGTTAACATGCTACCATTAGCTTAGCGGTTGACATTAACAACGTTGCTAACGAGCTAATAGTTAGCTCGTTAATTAGCTCACCACAAGTGGTTCCGTCTTTGCCTTCATACTGTCGTGTTACATATAAACAAGAATCCAAGTTATCAAAAAGGCTCTTCAAGGACATTCATGCTTCTCTTCAGAATTTTTCTGAACTTCATACTTTTGAAATATTTAGCTTTATTTTGAAAACCTTGCCCCATTCAAATGAATGGGAAAATTCTACTTCAGCTTACTTTCAGCTAGCAAAAACATTCAGGTGTCAAAATGTTCAGCATTTTCAGGGCAATCTTTCAACACTCAGCATCCATACGCATTTTCTTCAGAAAATGCAATTCTCTAGCTATTTATCAAATTTTCCTAGCCCTTCTTCAAGGGCTGCAGTGGCAGTTGTTGTAGTTTCACATCTAGAGGCTTATTACATTTAAAGTTTAAAATTATAATTGGCTACTGTCTTGCATTTTACTCACATGTACCTTCTAATCAGTGTTATTTAAAGCTTATTTGTTACCTCTATTTTAATGATCAAGATTTATATTTTTGTCAATTCACTATATGTGGAGGACATACAGAAAATCGAAATAACATTTCTCTCTTATCCTAATTACTTTAATTTAGTTTTCTTATTCTATTTTTATTCTATTTTTGCTTCTTAAATGGTATGGCATTCAATACAAGGTGAAACTAACAGTAACTAAATCAGTGACAGTAGTGCCAATAATAACCAGAAGATTGTCAGATGGTTAGCATCACCAGGGGGGTTTTAGCTGATTTATCGGAGACAGTAGCCCTGAAGTCATCTGTGTCAGTCCCTCAGTCTCACTGGTTAACTTGTCCATGAAACTGGTTCATAATTTGAGCACCTGGGGTTTTATGGGGAGCGACAGCTGTGGTGGGTCCTTCTGACAGCATTGGCCTCCTTAAATATCACTGGCTCATATATACCCCCTCTGGTGTCCCAGAATTCCCACCTGGCCATTGTGGTGTGAACCTCCCCCTTGCAGACAGTAGACTGTTTTGAAAATCCTACCCTGAAATTAACTGAAATTGCTTCTTCTGATGCACTGAAAAGGTGCAGTTATAATGTTTGAACAGATTTATAATTTCTTTGAGAATGTACACACACTGTAAGGTTCAATGTCCATGAAAGCTTCATCAAAATTAGAGCACATGGGAAGTATACCATACTTTATTCACCAAACATTTTCAACTGTCAGAGTGGTTCGTCCCTGTGTATGAGGCTCTCCGTTGATAAGTCACGGGACTGCAGATCATCTTAAATTCGAAGTATTCAAAACATCTGTTTTATCACCATCTTCTGGTGACTCCGAAGAAATTCAGGAGCAGAGGCTACACCGATGAAACCTTGGGGATCTGTTTCAGAAGGAAAGCTATCACAAAATATACAAAGGTTTCTGAAAGCATAAAATGATTTTTCAGAGCTCTTTGCAGAAACAGAAACTAATTAAAACCTGTATCAGGAAAAGCTTCAATTAACATTTAAAATAAGTAATTATACATGTGGGGTTCATACACAGTCACAGACATAACAAATTTATATTTTGACTTCAAAAAATTCAAGTTAAGAGTTATTTTTTTTAATGCAGCACAGATGGTGGCTTTTGTCTCCAATTAAAACGCAGTCTCACCGTCCTTACCTTGCAGGTGGTAGCAGTCTGTCAAGAGTCCCCACCCCCAAGAAATAATCCCACAGGTAACAGTCAGTAAAAACACAAATATACATTTTTACAGTTTCTCTGTAAAGATTGAACAAATGATCAATTACGTGTTAATTAGGTAGTCTTAATATGATGCTAGGTGAATTTTGTCAGCACTGGGGGAGGTGACAGTGGTGTGGTGGGTAGAGCAGTCATCTCCCAACCGGAAGTTTGAAGGTTTGAATCTCGGTGCCCGCAGTCCACATGTCGAAGTGTCCTTGTGCAAAACACTGAACCCCCCCCACCCGTTGCCCGTGATAGCGGCGCGTATGCACGCTGCGGCCTGGGCCCTCGGCTCCAAACATAATTTCGTTGTATGTATTACAATAAATAAAGCTTCTTCTTAGCTTCTCTGACAGAGCCAGGTTTGCTGCTTCCCCATGTCCAGTCTTTATGCCAAGATAAACTAACCTGTTCTAGCTTCATATTGAATGTACAGACATGATGAGAGAGGAATTGGTCTCCTGGTGTAACCTCCTGCAAAAAAAGCAACCAGAGTTTCCCACCAGCTCAGACAAAGGTGTCCCTGTTCAAGGTCTGACCAGTCCTTGTCGTCGCTCCGGCTGCTGCCATAAGTGAATGGTCTCAGAGGCCTTTTCAGGGAACTGAGGTTGAAAGTGGAGCACCACAGTGAAGTTCATTTATCTTAGTGTTTCTACTCAAGCAATTACTTGTACTACTTTTGGCTTTGATATAGATGCAGTACAGATAGTTGTGGTCAGTAATAACACAGTTTGAGTGACTATATTTACCTCGACTGGAAACATTCTTTTCCAGAGAAGTAACTCAGTACCATCCCTCCAAAGAGGAGAAGGAACGAGCCTCCCCAGCCAATGAAAATCGCAGCTCCAAGTTCATACCTGAACAGCAAATATAAAGGTATATCAATGGTTGTGGTTTGTTTTTCTGCACTTTTTAAATATCGCTGTTTTAAAATGTAATTTATAAGGGACTTGTTATAATATTCAAACTGCTGGAAAAGGACTCACTTCAATTGCAGGTAAGCTGGGTTCAGAAAGTCTGATATGGATCTGTTGGCCCACCATGTGTAGGTAATCATTCCACAGAATGCTAGCATAAAATATGCTTTTATTAAACATCCTGAATGCATATTTCACTGTTGTTTTATATTTTAAGTTTGATGTTATGATATAATATTCCTGGATGGTTTCTTTTACCTGAAACCAGGTAGGTTATACCAGCTGCAAAGGTCACTCTTGCACTGGCAGTCTCTGACCCGCCTATTTTAGTGCATTTCATCCCTATGAGTGTGAGGACACCTCCAAAGAAGCCGGTGATGACGGAGCAGACCGTGAGAGCTCTGCAGACATGTAGGTACACTGAAAGAAAACCGAATAAAGTGAAATGCAGCAACAGCTGAAATCCATCCCTCCACTGGTTATAGTGCTGTAGAAGGTCACTGGGGAGTGGTGTGCTGGAACCAACACTAGAATTTGTATCTTATATTTTTAGGTAGATAAAAGACCACAATAAGCATGCTAAATGTATTGTGCTGTGCTAAATAGGCAGTCTTGTTGTGCATTTTATCTTAATAAACCTCACATTTTCAGACTATCCTACCTGACAGGGCCATCATGGAGGCGTAATCCTTGCACACAGTAACCCCTGTGCCATCTGTCATGCAGTCTTTCCACAGGTTGTGGTAGAAATCGGCTGTCATCAGCACGCTTCCTGAATCCTCGGACACCATCCAGAAGTCTGTGGGAATAGTGGAACACACCAAGATCCAGCCACACAGGCAGGACATGAAGCAAACGATCTCTATGTACATCACTGTCATCCTGTACTCCATGGTGAGTGTTGCTCCTCTAGGCCCAGTAGAGCTGAATTGATTTAACACAGAGATTACTGTTAAAGCTTTAAAATACATGACAGTGTGGGAAACTGGACTGACTTCTTCCACTGTGTCATTACTGATGCAAAGGTGTGGACATTTGGCTTTTATCTAATCTTTTAGATAGTTTTGCTCAGTAAGCATCCTTTATGTTCCCAGCACAGGCATGAACAGGGAAGTATTACTACCCTTATGTTTTGATTAGGTTATAGGTTAGGGTTGCAAAATCAAGCTGTGTAACAAATTTTTATTTTAACTTCAAAAAAATTCAAGTTAAGTTATTTTTGATGTGGCAGTTTTTCCCTTTTTGCTGATCCTCCCAGACCAGTCTTGCATATTTTCTTGCATTAAATTAGAAAATATTTTGTTTCATGTCATGCATGAATAGAAAATATGGCTTAGGTTGCCAAAAAAATAAAATGTATATAATTCCCCACTCGCCCCACTTTGGAGTGGTCTTATTTCTTCCGTCAAGCTCGACTCCTCTACCAGAGGCCTGGGAGCTTGAGGGTCCTGTGCAGTATCTTAGCTGTTCCTAGCATTGCACTCTTCTGGACAGAGCTCTCAGATGTTGTTCCTGGGATCTGTGGGAGCCACTCTCCCAGTTTGGGGATCACAGCCCCCAATGTTCCTATTACCATGGGGACCACTTGTGCCTTCACCTTGCACATCTTTTCTAGCTCTTCTTTCAGCCCTTGGTATTTCTCAAGCTTCTTGTGTTCCTTCTTCCTGATGTTGCTATTACTTGGGATTGCTACATCTATCACTACAGCCTTCTTCTTCTGTTTGTCTACCACTACTATGTCCGGTTGGTTGGTCATTACCAGTTTGTCAGTTTGTATCTGGAAGTCCCACAGGATCTTAGCTTGGTTATTCTCAACCACCTTTGGAGGTGTATCCCATTTTGACTTTGGGACTTCCAGCCTGTACTCGGCACAGATGTTTCTGTGCACTATGCCAGCCACTTGGTTATGGTGTTCCATGTATGCTCTGCCTGCTAGCATCTAGCACCCCACTGCTATGTGCTGGATTGTCTCAGGGGCATCTTTGCACAGCTTGAAGGAAGGAATACGAGACCACCCCAAAGTGAGGGGCGAGTGGGGAATTTTTTTTATATATATGTTTTTGTATTATATATTATTATTTTATTTTCAAATAGCTTTATATATTATATATCTGTTTTAAGGAACTTGTCTGCACGCTGCAGAGAGTGTTAAATGCATTCAGAAACAACAGCAATAATAATACATTTGTGATTATTTATCAAATTTGCCCAGCCCTACTTCAGGCTTTTAGATAGGGCTACAGTGCCAGCTGTTGTAGTTTCGCATCTGGAGGCTTATTACATTTAAAATTTACAATTAAAACTGGCCACTGTTTTGCATTTTACTCATGCACCTTCTAATCAGTGTTATTTAAAGCCCATTTGTTATTTTCATTTTCACCCATCTGCGTTTTTGTGTAAAAAAAAAAAACAACAACTCACTTTGTTTATGTATAAACTGTCCAGCCACATCTGATACGCCTCTTTAAGGGAGGGTGGATGGGGAAAAACAAGATGAACCAGTGGGTGGATGTTCCGAGAAGCTGTTTCCGCAATGGCTGAAAAAAAAATCTAAACAATATAACATAGTATAAAGACTCTCAGGAGGAAACCTGCAGCTTAATGCGTCCACCCCTTAAAATACACACACTAAGTGAAGTCAAAAAAAAAAAAACACATCAAGGTAAATTTTACTCTGACAAAATGTCATCCTGATCAGCCATTTTTATATTTGTTCATTAAATTATTTTTTACCTTAACAGAGTTTAGTACACATTTTCAATTTCTTGCTACATCTTTTCCATAAATTCAGCTCTTTAACTAAAATAATATGATTCCTTTTTTCCTTTGGGATATTTGCTGCTGTTGCTGTACTGCTTTAAAATCTATCATCATTTAATAAGCAACAAGTTCATTGGTTCTTGATTGGACACTATCTATTGAAGTGTAACTATTTGTTTTATATGTTTACTACACCCAGACGATGGGTAGCTCAGCTTTGCATAGACTGAAAACAATAGCAAAGAGCGAGTCAGCAAAAATAAAGATTTCATTTAATGATTTACTGATTATACAAGATAACTGATGACGCTGTGTATAATCATAGGCCAACATAAAGTGGGCATGAATTTTTTTATATTTCAATTAAAATCTATCAATACTAACCTTCACCATAGTATGCATTACCTATTTTTTATAAAAAAATATCACTGTAGGCTTAATATATACAGCATTATTTTTTCTACACAAATGGGTTCTTTAACCTGGAAATAGCCCTGCGATGGATTGGCGACCTGTCCAGGGTGTACCCCGCCTTCGCCCGATTGCCGGCCGGGATTGGCTCTGGCCCCCACCCCCGTGACCCCGTTCAGGGACTAAACGGTAGAAAATGAATGAATGAATGAACCTGGAAATATAAAAGAGTAACCAAAGAGATTTAACCGTCACATAATTCATGCTGGGAGGTCTGCTAGTTCAGATTGTGAAACTGTAATAGGTTAATATTTGTACAATTATTTTGAAGTTGTAACTGTAAAAATGGGAACTTTATGCTAATTCACAGCTACAAGATTTTCCTGTTAATTTACTTGTGGCATGTAATTTCACAATATATTTTAAGAATTTTATTAACCTACAATATTTTGGAAAAATCTGTCAATTAAAAAGGAAAATTTTGTAAAACATTTTTTAACAGTAAAGTTAAAGTGCTTCAGGTGCAGTTTTCTGTTTGTTTTCTCTAATTCTTATTTGCTTACCTCTGAAGGTCAATTGCAAGAATGCAGCCAACATTGCTCCAGCTCAATATGGAGAGCAGCAGGTCCAGATCAGAGCCAGTCTCCCTCTCATCCTTTCACCCTGGTAAGTAAAAGAGCCTTCACTAATTTCTTGGAAATAGGTACTGAGATGCTTAGACATTGTGTAGTACTTAATCTTATTTCACTGCGTTTTCAATGTGCATAAAGTTAGCAGTCTTTTATTAATAGCGACATAGCTTAAATTCAACTGAAAAGGCAGAGTTGATAACGCCAGATAAGGTCTTGTAAAGGAAAGGGTCCACCACTCTCACTGCTGCTGCTATTTGTGTGAAGGTTTGAATAACAGCAGAGCAGACACTGTTTAGTTAAGTTTATTTGTGGTGTAAAAGGATACACAAAGGTCAACATTATATTGGTTACACTTTGTTGTACTGAGTCAATATGGTTACATATATACATATTATAGATGATAAACATGCAGCAAGAAGTGTATACAGGTCAGTTCAATGAAAAAGATTTTTAAGACCAGGATTTCTTACACTGGTTTAAATACAAATACACTTGTTTTTGCCACAGATTCATAAATTAAATTTTTCCTTTACACAATGATTTACATCTATTCAAATATAAGAAGTTTTCATGAACGGGCTAGTCTCATTCCTCGAACTGCCCGACGCTGATGATGCTGTCCTGCTAACACTGCTGCTTCTTGACTTGGACAAAGTTGACATACTGGATATTGACAAGCGGGTAGACTCTGAGCCTGACTCTGATCTCGCAGATGTGGGGGTTTTCCCCCTTGACCTGGATGTGTGTGCAGATTTGGTTGTGTCTTCTGATCTTGATGAGATGGGAGGCTCAGGAGCAGAGGCCACTTTGGTGGCTGAGGGGATCTCTGACACGGTAGACTGGTTTTGCTCTGGGTCTGGTAGCGGCTGGATTTTGATAACCCTGGAGGGAGTGACACACATTATTGCATGACAGGGCTAATTTTTGTTGTTTGAAAGAACTGCATCATAGCTAATACATTACAATAGACTTGATAGCGCTCCATAGTAGATTTTAAAAAATAGGATAACCTGCACTGATTTTGGCCACTTGGGGGCAGCAGAAACAATCTGTAAATACATTTGCTCTTCCCATGGTTTCCCCCATTTTTCCGTTACAGAGCTTTTAGAGGGAGTTTTCCCTTCATCCTTTCCCCCTGAGACAAATTTGTGGCTTGAGATATTGGGCTATAGAAATAAATATGATAGTCATGGAGCAGCATTAGCATTTATTTGGAGTTATGGACCCATGGTGAACATCTGTACACTGACGTTTAAACCATTCTGCACTAACAGAGCCTTGTGCTTTGTGGATAATGAGTCATTTCACTTCAGCACATGTGATGCTGGTATTTATTGAGGATGTGGAGAGTAATGTAATCACTTGTCCTGACATGTTAGAACAACAACATGCATCTGTACTCACTTGTCCTCTCTTCTACACAACTGTATCCATACTGACCACAGGTAGAAAAAGCCACCAGTCATGTGAATGGCTGCGCCAACCCAGCCCAGGAGCACTGGGCTTCCAAGGTTATAACTGTTGGTGTTAAAACAAAAACAAACTGTGAGATTAAATATTTGTGTTTTATTATTAAAAGTAATTTTCCTAAAAGATGTTACACAGTATTCAGCTTTTGCGCCTGTTAACTTACTCCAGTCCATCTGGGTCAGGGTTGAAGTATGTTAAGACGTACTGCATAAAAACAGCATACCCACATGTGGCTATCAAACCTGAAGACAAATCATGTTGGTAGAAGCAGAGAAAAACTTACAAAGTGTGCATGGCAACCATACAAACTGATGACAACAAATAGCAGCAAGATATTTTTGTTTATAGACAAACCTGTGGTATGATAGGAATAAAATAAACACAATAAATACATGGGTAGGCCTATTGGTTCTTTAAAAACATTATAAGCAGCAAATATTACTTAAAGAATGAGGACAGTAATGTTCTTTATTAACAATATGTCAGACATTCCCCATACAGTTATTAAAGCTAAGAATGAATTCTCTCTGCTCACAGTTATTGTCCGCCATATGAAGCATAAGACCCTGATTTGTTAAGAATATCCAGAGATCTTGTGTATGGGCAGTTGCCTCTTGCTCGGTCGCTGTAAAAAGTTATGGCTGTGCGGAGCCTCTAGAGCAACATTTAAAACA